AGTTCTGAGATTTCTGCTTTCTAGGTTACATGGTGTGTGTTAGCCTCTAGGTCTTACTGCCACTTTTTCTACCTCCCAGGGCCAACATCGTAAGGTTACAGGTCAGGTCATACTGTTTGTTGGGCAGAAATTGAGAGTATAGTGAACAAAATTCTCTTGGAGTTTTCTGGTATTATCTGTTTCATGTTTATCACATCATTTTGGTGGTCATAATCCATGTTCTGTAGTGTTTTGGATATTAGAAGTCTGACTCATAAATAAAGGCAAACTACTCATGTTTGCACTGCCAGTACCACTGGTAAGGATAAGCAGTGCATCAGGCACAATGCCAGAAGCTATTTATCCAGATTCTCTTTTTCTTGTCACTTTCCCAATAAATAAGGACCCCTGGTGAAATATTAATCTCTATTCTTGATCTCTCTTTTATTCTCCTGTTTATGGTAATCTGGAGACCGATTTAAAATTAAGCCTTGTTTTTTACTTGCTCAAAAAATTTCAATAATGTACTATTATATTCAGTATAAAAACTAACTCATTAACAAATCCATAACCCTGCAAAAATTGAGTAAGTTTCAGTCTTCATCATTTACTTCTCTTTCCTCCCCTCCCTAATGTGTCATCACACTTGAATGTCCTTAAACAGAGCAAAGCTCCATCCAAAACATCAGATCATCACCATATCCATTTCTCTCTGTCATAAACCTTTTTTTTTTTTTGCCAATTCTTTAGCTGACTAATTCCACCTACACATTTACAACTCACTGTAAGCGCCCCTTTATTTAAAGGAGGCTTTCCCTGTTTTGTTCATTCATTAACCTTTACAGAAGTTATTGTATCTATAACTATGCATGTATATATACATACAACTGCCACTTATAGCCATAATTAATTTGCATTCAACATTCTTAACTTCACTCTAAACCCAACATATGACTATTTGGTCACCATCCTATCTCCAGAGATACCCATTACAATTGTGTTTCATAGTAGTTGACCCATACTAATCACTTTACCATTCATGCAACAAGGAACTCTATGGGAAAGCATCTAGCTAGACACTTGGAGAAGTTTACAGAAGTATAACCATGCCCTTCATGGATGTAAGCCTCACAGACAAGAACAAATATATATTATAAAAGTGGTAACCAAAAAGCACTGTAAAGGTACTAAGACAGTGGAAGAGAACAGGGAATGTTGAAGTACTGCTGTTTATGTAGAATATTCTGAGAAGAGTTTTCTGTGGAGGTGAAATTTGAACAGAGATTTGAATGAAGCAAAGGAGAAAGGGACATGAAAATTTGGTAGGAGAAGGGATGAGAATAAGTGAGATTGAGAGGAGAGCATAATGGATTCGTAGGGGACTATGGGTTCTTCAGTAGTGGGAGTGTTAGAGTGACTATACCTGAGTATGGGAATCATATATATACTGTCTTAACACTGGCATGCATGTGGGATGATGGCACTTCAATATCAATAAGTAAAGTTATAAATAATGTAAAATTTAACTAAAAGAAATGTTGGAAAAGTGTTTCCAGGAAAGAGAAGAGTGAGCTATATCATGCTTGGAGTAGTCAAAAAACAGCAAAAAAAGATGAATGTGTCTAGGGCTGTGTGAACAATGGTAGTAACAGTAAAATGTGTGATTGGAAAGATATTTATAGACAGTATTGTTAAATGAATGAATTCATGATTTTTGAATGTTTAATGATGAGAAACATCGCATGCAAAGTATAAGTAGAGGGAACTCACAAACCATGTTTAAGAGAGGGAACTCTTTTGCAATGTATGGCATTTGTACCTGCTGTCTGGGGATATATGTTAATGATATTGTTGGATTAAAAGAACAATCCACCCTGTATTCTATCTAAGAAAAATTGTGGACAGGGAATTGGAGGTTTAAACTGTCATTAAAATATCTCTGGAAGTTAAAATTAGGTAATTTTCTACAAATGATCTCAACCTTCAGTCGAGTTGTTCCCTAAAGCACTCTGTACAGGCCATTCCTCAAGAATCTCCAAAATATTTCAATCAAGTGTCTCAGTCTATAGTATTTAAATAAATCATTTTGAAGCTTGCTTAAGAGTTATTTCAATTTCCCTCCTGTCCACATATCTGTCTGTAAATGTGCTTAGAGAATAATGATTTCCTCTTCTCTTCTATTTATATCTTGTGAAAATGCTTTTCATTGGTTAAGTCTAGCTCAGAGTCACCTGGGAAGCTTTTACTTATGGGAAATGCAATCCCAGGCATTTTCTCTCCGTGTGAAGATGAACTTGGAGAGAATTTTTAGTGGTGCTCTATGGAAATAGACAGCCCAGAGAAACAAAAGTTTGAAAAACTGAAGTAGACTCTGGACTGTCCATCCATCCTTGCACAAAACAGATAAAATCTAATGTTATTCTCTCATACAATATCCAGTTGAACAAAAGATTGTACTACTAAGATGAAAAACAAAACAGAAACACTTGAATGTTAACTTTTAGACATGACTTAATGAGTTAATTTTATCAACAACATGAAGGCAGTTATTTTCATGCCACAACGTTATTCAGTCAAAGGCCCCAATAGTTATATATATATATATATATATGACATAATTATAAGATCTTCACTATTCTAGTTATTCTTATATACTTTTCCTTGCCACTATCTAATGCCTTTAAAATGTGATGCCTATAATTCAGCACAAGTCTCATAATGAAATCTGACTAGTAAGGTACAGGGGAACTGTTTCTTTCAATTATTTTGTTGCTATCTGCATATTCATGCAGCCAAAGTTTAAATTACTGTTTTAGAATTCATTTCACAGTTCTGCTTAATATGGAGCTTGCAATCAAAATTTTCCAGTATTTTGCACATGAACCAATGCCAAATTGCTCACCTCCTTCCCATTAATATATTTTAAAATCATTCACATGGAATCAGTAGCCAAACCAAATAAATAAGTGGTATTTCCAAAGAAAAAGTAGCAAGTTATATAAATAGAAAGGGCAGCAAATGGAGATCTGGATGTCAGCGATGTTTATAGTAACAAAGATATCAAATAAATTATAAATAGAAAATAAATGAGAGTTATGAAATAAATAGGTAGCAAATAACTAATCATAATCAATAAAGAAGTTAATTCAGTCCCAGAGGTAATAGGAAAACTGGAATGATTTGCTATTATAGTAGTTTATATATATATACACACATATATATATGTATGTATATTTTTTTTCATTTAACAGTAACCCATGAGCATCTGGAGAATACAGGAGCTTCATGTGTCCAAAAGAATTTGAACTCACTTAAATTTCAAGAGATGTGACACACAAACAAGTCATCCATAGGCTCAAAAATAAATTAAGATAGAGTTGTTTACAATGTTGTTTCTTAGCATGAATTCTTCTCCTTTTCCATTTGAAATATATTTTACTGTGGAGTATGCATTTTAAAATGTCTAAAAAAAATCAGGTTATTATTGTGTGATAAATTGCAGGAAACCTAAGCAGCTGCAAGAAAAACATTTTTATTGCTAAATTAATAATTTCAAACTAGACCAGAAGGGACAATCATCCCTCTGTGGATATGGAGGCATATTGTTGTTTGGGTTAGCTAAACTAACAGCTCCTAATTGTAAAGAGATGTGCTTGATTAAATGACTGCAGTTGGGACTTGATATTTTAGTTGATGAAGTATTTGTTTCCACTCATTTATATGGTTCATAAAATTTCAATAATAGCACCATGATCTGTCATGGATTATTTTGAAAAAAAAAATCCTGCCAAATTAAAAAGCATGTATCTCCTTCCTTTCATTTCTTTATTTTCATTTAATATACTAATCTGCTTAATAGATTAAAAAACAAGTCAAAATTGTATTAACATGCTACCTAAGAAATACAATTTGAAAACTTTTACTCTCACTAATGATTTGATATGGTGCTAACTCTCAAAATATTTTTTAATAAGTAATGATGTTAAATCTTAATGAGATCAATCTTAAATAAATTCTTCCTTTTGAGGGAAAGTACAGTTCTCTTTATAATTGATTGTTTCAAGATGACAGTTAAAACATTAATAGTGCTAAAAGTAGCAATAGCAAAAATGGCTGACATTTTATAGATAGCTTAATATATGGCAGGTAGTAAGTGCTTTTTTGGGTGATTATTTATAAGTTATGAAACATAATGAACATGAAACAGTAACCTAATATCCCATTCTAGATCAGAGATGTTAAAAATATGCCTCATCATTTCACATGTTTAAAATGTACAATTCAATTTTTATAATCTTTATAAATTTGTTAAAATACACAGGCCTACATAAATATGTATGCATTTGTGTATATATATATACACACAATTATGCACATATTTAATTATTGTATATTTTATATTTGATTACATTATAAATAATCAAATATGGAAAATGGTCTTCAATTAGGAATCTTTATTGAATTACATTGATTCACTTAAAATTCATGATAAAAATTATACAGAAAGACAAATTTATCCCCCCCAAAAAAAGATCTGCCTTTTAATATATCTGTCTTTTAATATATATCTCTAAATATTTTCCCTTGGTGCAGACTTCCCAGGAAATACTCAAATACTCAAATGTTCTGTTGTGTCTTGTAAGAGCATTATCTCCTCATGACCTCATCTGAACCCTATCATTGCCTTAATGTCCCATTTCCATCACACAGGGTTAAAACTTCAATATTAAATTTTGATTGATACAACTCAGTCCATAGGTGAGAAGCTGCAGAGTAAATTGCAGAATGTAAATGTTAGTGCTGCAAAATGTAAATAAAGCCAATATCAGTAATGAAGTCCTTTATAGAGTATCTTTGTACTTTGAAATTATGAAATACTGTGGGGTACATTGTACCCCATTATATACAGTTACCAATACAAAACTCAGGTTAAACTAAAAAAATGTTCAATACAGTGATAACAGTTTATTTTAATCTCTGGTAATAGATATCTTAGTTATTGAAATATTAGGTTTTCTTACCATTGTGTAGCTATGAGCAACCTTCATTAATTCAATGCATCCTTGAGCATCAGCGAATGCTCGGATTCCTAAGCAATTAGATGGATGTAAAAGCTTCATGAGGAAATGGCAGCAAACTTCTACTACTTGAGGAAGCTGAAGAAGACATGCTGCAGCAAGGAGGTTTTCAATGGTGTCCTCCTTTAGTTCCAGACAACCTAAACAGTAAGGAGAGAGAATAATAATAATGGTTAAGTAGCATGTATAACTGCATTATTAAAAAAATAATTTCAGTCATCTAGAAAATATATTAATACAGATTGATGATGTGAAGATGTACATAATTCATTAATGGCAAACAGTGATTTTAAGCACTTTGACTCAGTTTTTTAACTCACATGATGCTCAAAATCATCTACTATATACAAATGCAGTTTTGGCTTAAGTATCAGCCAGTGTTTACTTGCACAGGAATTATGACCATTCATCTGATTGTGAATTAAGGAGAGAGAGAAAGAGAACTTCAAAGTATGTATCTATAAGATTAGGAAAGTAGAAGATTAGCTATTTCCAAAGATACATATGTGAATGAAATGCCTATGTGTGATCAATTAATATATTTACATATTCATGCAATTTTATATGCACATGTGCTAAATATCTAATTAACTCTACCAGCCTCTATAATTATTAATATGTTTCTTTACTTTTAAGCAGGTTTTGTAACTTAAAAAGTGAGCTGTTGAGTGTTTCCTCTTTTTTCCAAACTACTGTGGAATTTGAATAATGTCCATCTGTTTTTCAACATCATTAAAGTGATGAGAAAAAAAAAAATGATTCTTGGCCAGGGCAAGTGTGTGAAGTTATTAGCACCTTCATCCTATATCTGTGGGTATCCTCTTGGTATTCTAGTCTCCTCTCATACCATACAGATGTGCATGAAGTATCCAAGATGTATTTTGTAGATTTTATTTTTAAATTCAGAATGTAATCAAGATTCACACATTACATTTAGTTTCTAGGTCCCTTAGTTCTCCCATAGTTTAGAATACTCCTCCAGCTATTTGTCATATATGGTATTTATAGTAGTGAAGGGTTCAGACTACTTGTTTTGCAGAATTTCTCAATGTGGATTATTCCTTTATTTCCACGTGATGAGATCTGGCTAAAGCCTTTTTCTTTTGATGTCAGATAGGTGATACACCTTTCTCAGTGGTTTATAGGGAGAGCAACAATGATTCCTTGCTGGTGGTACTAAGTTCGGTACCTTGTTTAAGGCAGGGTCTGCCCGATTTCTTGTCCTGTTATTATTAATAAGTAATCTGTTGGGTGAGGGGTAACTCTGCTTTCAGACATGACATTTATTCATAACTGAACATGTTTAATAGATAAAGATTATTATGTTTTATTTATGAGTTTTCACAAAAGACTGAGACAGCAAAGGAATCTAAAGCGTTTTCCCAGGGTAGGAAGGGATTAGGTGAAAGGAAAAGAAGCAGGCAAAGGTACATAAAATGAAAGGAACACTGAAGGAAAACAAAATAATTTTTTCTTTAGACTATATATTAATTTTTCGATGAATTTAACTACACAAATTCTAGTTTTGTTATAAAAATAATAGCTATTTAAAATTCCAAGATTTTACTAAATGTGCAAGCATCTTTTTCAGATATTATCAGCTATAAAATATTGAATAACAAATTGACAGAGGAAGCATTTGCTGATAAGAATAAAATTCAATGAGGTGTCTGTAGTTTATCACTCAATAAAAAAATCAATTAAAATAGTCACCTTACATTGAACAATTCATAACAGTTTCAGTGAATTTAAGATTAGTTATATAAGATAAACATTTTTACATGTTTTAAGGTTTATGAATTATTATACTTTATATTATAAAGTGTTTTACAAATTACAGAATTATTAAGTTTGAATATTTAAGAGTTTGCTTTATTGAATATGCACTTGTGCTTATAAAATATAGATAAAATAACAAATATATTATAATTGATTTAGATATTATATATAATTGATTTAGAGTGTAGATATGATTTATACACACACACACACCAAGTGTGTTTACCAAAATAACTAAATAATTTAAAATCTTGTGAGGAGTTTTTCAGTGAGGAGATTTTTGAATAAGATCATAAAAATAAATTGTAGTTACATACTTCTTAGCATAGATCTTGTGAAAATCGTATAAAATGGATTAGTACATATGGTAAGGTTTT